ACGTCATTCAACAAAACAAAAACACCCTGAAAACAAAATGGCGTCTGAAACGTCAGAAAAGTTTTGTATGAAATAGCATTTTAGGTGGTTATGCCAACGCGTTGACCAATCACAATGCGCAAAATTTGTCGACCAAATGCGCATTTGGAAAGGGTCGACAAATTTTGCGCATTATGATTGGCCAACGTGTTGCAAACTCTTGGTGGTACACTATTGTGAATCGCCCGTATTAGGTAGAGGTACACGCTGACTTTACAACTATTGTTCACAATGTAACATGCTCCATTTTGACGGCTTGGGTGGCAGGTTGATCATAAACTTGTCCCAAGATGTCCCCCACTGACTTTGGGAAAACAACACCAAGAGGCCTTTGTAAGACCATGACCACATCGTGCATGTTCTGGCTCTGGCTTAGGTGTTTAGCCATTAGCACACCACAGTGCACAGCCGTAGCCACGGGCAACAATGACCATTTCAGGCACATCTCCAAGACTGCATTCCACATCCAGCAAATTTGTTCACAATCACTTCCTTGTTTTACAATCCCAAAGGAGATACTATTAAATTAAATTTACATTGCACTTATTCCATACAATGTTCATGAGCACATTACAATATATATTGCATACTTAATTAAGACAAATCTCCAAGAATTTGCAGTAAAATAAAAAAATATTACACAAATACCAAAAAGGAAAATTACAAAACATGAACCAATGTCAATAAATTAAAACTATAAAATACATCAATTTACATCTTGTAATGCATGGAAAACATCTTTAGGTAACGTGGAACTTCCTCAGACATTAAACCAGAAAAATAAAAACACTCCACAATGGGTACCAACTTATTTCAATAAACTTCTAGAATTCACCTTCTCCTGTGCTTCCTCAAGTTTCTCGGCTAGTGCCATGATCTCGCTGTCCTTCCTGCTCAGGGAGGCAGTCAGGCGGTCCGACGATGCCTTCCATTCCTCCAACTCTTCCTGGTGCTGCAGACTGTCATCTCGCAAGTCTTCGTTGGCACGTTGCAGCATCTAGCAAGAAACGATGTCAACATGTCAGAGAGTGACAGAGAATCTCTTTTGGAAAGATGTGTTGGCTCTGAGCGGAGCCGGTGGTGAGACAAGGTCTCGATGTTTCGAACAGCTTGCTCCGCTTGTCTTCAGTAAGCTGCCGGAATGGCACAGACAGTGGTAACGAATGTATCCACACCAGTCTGTATATTACTTCGCCATGCCAAGCTTTGAACAACCAATATCAATTTGTACTATGACAAACACCTTTGCCATTGCTTACAAATTTAGGAAAATCGTAAGTTGTGCAATAAGCCAGTGGCATATTGTTTGAACGAACAAAATTATTTGAATCCTTCAAAACGGTTTGATCGAGTGCTAGCTCAAGATCCTACCAGATCCTTCAAAATCCACCAGAAGCAGGGAGGATTTTACAGGAGAGAGACAGAGCCCTGCCGTGAGACGGGGTACACTACAGATGCTGAAAGTGCCACAGATGGATATCAAGGCTCTGCCCATCTGCCACAGTGTTCGTCCGTAATGCTACGGTACGTACATGACATATCTGGTGGTCCCTCGCAAAACTTTGTCTGGAACTTACTGTCTCCAGTTCTTGGCACTTGGAGGCCACCTTGCTCTTCTCTTGTCGGATCTCCTTCATGTTCTCTTTGATCATTTGGTGCTGTTCCTCCAACTGTTCTCGCTCCCTCTTGAATTCCTGTTTGTGCTGTTCCAGAGCCTATGCAGTTCATGCAAAGAGCATAAGTGGATCTCAGTTTGAAGTTCAAACCTTCCAAAGCAGTTTTTCAATAAGTTAACCACACTATAAGTCAACTGGACAAGGCAAGAATTGTAGATGAAACATTTTTCCCAAATGTGACAAGTACATGGAAGTAAACCCTTAGAGCTCAAATGTAAATTAAATTTCTAGGATGCTGACTGGCTGTGTGGAGTGAAGCCTGTACGATGCATCCATGTTTGGGCCAAAACCCACAGAAAACTTGAAGATCAGTATGATTTTAGTATGGCACGGAAACGTGAATTACAAATGACCATTACACTGATCCTTCGTTGGATTGAATGGAAACTTCAAAGGTGTTAAAGACTGGTTATGGCACAGCCGGAATCTTAAAGGATTTTGCTCCATTCCTCTGGCCGCTAGGTCTGAAAAGCCAGGCTCTTTTGAAGGTAAACACTCCAATCCTTACGTTAGTCCACCCTGAATGGGAATCTTTAGTGAGGAGTGAGGTCCTGCCCTCCAGCGTACCTTGTCCAGTGCATCCTTCTCCGAGGCCAGTCTCTTGGCTTCGTTCTCCCAGTACGTCTGCTGCTGCTGCACTGCCCGCTTGTCGGCGCTCAGCTGCTTGATGTCCTCCTGGACTTTCTCCAGGCTCGTCCTGGCCGCTGCCAACTCCAACGACAGCACCTCCCCCACCTGTCAGTTAATGCCAGAATGCCATCTGGCTGGTCAGTGCTACACAAACCAAGCCCCTGGACAATTCGGCCACTCCCACTTAACAAGGCCTAGCTCAACAACATCATTTCGGTCCGCAGTATAGCCTACCTGCTGTACAATGATATTCATTTGAGAACAGAGCAGGTGAGCATGAACATGTTCATGCTGATCTTTTGCACGTGCACGTTGCTGTTCCCAAATGACCTCCGACGTGCGCCATTTTGGGCATGCACTGTTGGAATGCTGAACTGTATTCAGTATTCAGTACAAGTTTCAGCATATCTGAATGAACATCTCTTTCGGGAGGGCAATGACCACAGAAAAACACCCTAAAACCCATTTCTGGCTGCCGCCCCGTAATACTGCTGCAGGCCTGCCCCAAAAAAGTACATGTAAGCAAATATGAGAGTTAAGCAACAATACCAGTAATGTAATCCAGTCGCCGCAAAAATGAACCAATGCCATCTGTGTGACATCACTGCCAAAATGGCCAATGCTACTCATTTTACATATAAAAAAACTCTGCCTGATGACCAGCTGATCTGACCTTTTTGACGGCGTTGAGTTCGTCCGCCATCTTATCCATCTCCTCTTCCTTCTTCTCCACCAACAGCTTGCTCTGGGTCACCTCCAGCTGAAGCTCTGTCAACTTCCCCTCAAGTGTCTGCCTGGTCTAAAAAGAAAAAGACCCACAAAAGACAAACCTTCAGAAAACCAAAATCACAGTTTTTTTGTCTTTATTGCCTATTTGGCACTCGGCCAGGATAGTAAACGACAGGCTTTTGACTCTGTGGGTTCCCGTACTAGACCAAGAACAGAAAGGTGCATGCAGACTTGAGGAAATGTTCAGGTTTTGGGTATGGAGAGAAAAACGCCAACATGTAGCTGACGATCTAGGTGTAACCTACATGTCATCAACAAATACACAAGTCAAACTAAGATTTAGCGGGAAAATATTTTGTAAACACAATTCACACATTAGGGGTCTGTTTCACCTCTTTTTGTAACATTTCGGAAAGTACAACGTTGAAGTTTCATCACATCAGTACAGGAGTTTGAAATAAACAGACAGTAGTTTGGTATTAAATACTACAATATATCACAATTAATGTTATGCCCCAATGTGCCTGATTCTGGCATATTATATATGTTTAAAATACAAAAATACTTATTTGAAAAGTATATATCACAGTATATAGTATATCATGCAATATATTAAAACTATAAACACGGATAGTGCTCAATACACAAAATCTGAGTATAACAAAAGAAGAGAATGCTAGAGTCAGTCTACAACAGTCAGTGCAGACTACCCGTACCTTGTTCATCTGCTCCTTTTCGTGGGTGGCAAGATTAAGGAGTTGCTGTAGATCAAGCTTCTCTTGTAAGAGTCTCTCTTTGGAGGCAGACGAACTGACGCACTTGGCGTTGAGGTCAGCGCATTTGTCCTCCAGTTGTGTTGCACGATTCTGGAACACCTCCCTCTCCTAACACAGAGTGTCAACGGAATAGTTCTGATGAATGTCTTGGAGTGTAGTGGCAGACTGAATGTTCTGTTAGACGAGGCGAAGCTGAGCGGAAGTGACGCTTTCTTTGTTACGTGCAGTGCCTGAACAAACCCTCATCTGGCACAAAGATGGAGGGGTGCGTCATGTCTTGACGCTGGCATCACCCAAAATCATTGGTTAAGTGTGATGAAGAGTTGCGACTGTCGCACCAAAACAACGGCACCATTCAGTGGAGGATTGTCCGTTGATTATACACAATAGTTTGTGGCATGACAAGTGATGGACAACCCTCCAATCAGATGACGTGGATCTACTAAGATGTCTGGTTCTTTTCAGAACCGCAAATACTCACAAAAGAGATATGTCCATGGTGCTACCGCAAACCTACTTTCTATTATACCTCTTCAACATGCAAACCTTCAAGACTCATCTACTAAGATGTTGCACAATACAAGATAACAGTCAAAAGATACCTCAGGGGAATGCAAGATTTGTTGCATGTGATTTGTTAGACTCGTCCCTACCAAACTAAAAAAAGAGTTGCTGGTCAACGGAGCTACTTGTAAGTTGCAGGCTACTTAAACCAGTCTTTGTTCAGTGGAAATCAACACCCAGCAAATGAGTTGAATGTGCTCAGTTCAATTCGAACAGAAAACTGACAGGTGTTAAAGTCTGTGATAAAAATTGTGGATACCTCTCCAGTCTCAAGCTGCATTGAAAAATTGAGCCACTGAGAAGAAACGTTGGGTGCCAAATAAAATGACAAAGAGTGGCTTTTGCAGGGTTACACTAGTCCTGCGTATGATCTGCAACTGGGTGGTTCCGATGGGATTTGCACTTGTCCACGCAAGGCTCACCACCCCTGGCTCTGCCCCACTGTGCTGGCCCGTGAGGTCAGCACCAATACTACATGCAAGTAGTAGCCACTAGCAACAATGACTAACATGTTTGGGCAGATATTTAGCCAGTTGATGAATTTACAAATACGACGGAAACTGTCTTTGTGTTCATTACGAAGAACAATGCAACGTCACCATGGCTCAACCATACTCCTGCCAAACCTTGTTCACCATGGCAACAACACAGGACTCACAATAAAATAACAGTAAAAAGCGGTGGTACCATAGGATGAAGCCTAGCAGCTGCTAGCTAATCCACACATAATGAAAAACCTTCACAGAGCGCACTGACCATTATCATAGCTAAAGACATGCTTGGTTGCCCATAGTACCAAACCATCACTGATACATGTTGTAGTGTATGAGGCCCGAGCTGCACCAAGAGAGGGCCCAATTTCCATAGTGACGGAAGCCCTTTGGTGGGAAACTGCACTTCACTGGTTCATGAATGATTATGAAATGCACCTTACGGTGGCATCGCTACCAACAAAATGGACATTCCCCAAGCCACCGACGTGGCTCTTTTCAACCGATGACAGGGTGCTTCTGCTCGAGGTGGACTGAAGCAATGGACTACTACACTGGTTCCTTTGCCAAGTCCAAACACTGTGCTGCAGCTGAGAATAGCAGGTGCACTTGTGGAAGTTACTGCCTAATGAACAGGGCCACTTCCAGAAGACACATGCATCACTCCCAGTTACATCCAGCTGATTTGCGCATGGCCTACCTCTCTAGCTTTCATTAGCTCCGCCCGCAAGAGGTCAACTTGCTGGTCCAGGTCAGTGTTTGCTCTTCTCTCCTCCACTAATTGGCTGTTCAGTTCCGCATTGTGGGCAGCTAACAACTCGTGCTTCTGTAATTCAATTGCAAACCAACAAAAACAAACAACAATTGTTGATTTGAAAATGAGTCAAACGGTAATTCCACGGTAACTACCATAACATTTCACAGAGATCATCTGGCTCTATGCTTCTATTTTATTTATGGTAGATTTTTTTCTCAGAGAATAAGTTTGGAAACAGAGTAACAAAACTATGAGAAAGACATAATAGCATGTACAAATTTGCATTAACCCTTGAAAATTAAATGCGTCCCAAACCTACGGAATCATAATGTCAGATGCGACAGGGACACACAAAAGAAATGGATCCCAAATTTATGGAATGACCATAAGGGAACGTTTCATAATTACAGAAGGTGGTATTTACTGCTTTTTTGCGGTACCAGCATTGAGCCCTTTCAGGTAACTAGTGCGGTGCAGCTAAAAAAAAAAAACAGCGGTACCGCAGTAAATACCACCTTCAACAATAATGAAACGCTCCCTAAATGTAGGATTTATGGAATGACATCCTTCCATGTTGAACAGCGATGTCTGTACCTCTGCAATTTTGTCTAGCTCCTTGTTATCCAGCTCCAGTTTCTCCGCCTTGGCACGGGCCATCTGTAGGCTCTCTCGCAGGGCCTTTGTTTCCTTTATCATGCTCTCCTTCATCTGCAAAAGGGGTGGAAGGATCTCGTCCAGAACAGAGCCACGTTGGAGCAGATGTGCTAGGAAACTCTTCAAATCAGGGGCCAAATCTTACCCAAGAACAGTCTGCATAGACTTAGGCTACACTGGCTTACTTCTTCAAACTTCCCCCCCCCCACACTTTTATCGGAGAGATATACATGTAGCTGAAAATCGTTCGTATCTTCCCCACATTCAGAACTACATTTACTTAAATGCTTGGTTAAAATGAGTGAATGTGTCCTTAGGTGACATGACTTGAAGTTTCCCAAAGCGGAAAAAAAATCAGTTTTTCAGTCTGCTATTTATTGGGATGAATATATGGCAGATCATTGATGGGGGTGAGTTTGATTTGTCAAACATTTCATTTTTGCTGTGAAGCCGCTATCACTAGTGCGGGGCTGGTTTCCGATCTGTGCCGCGAGCTCGCCGCATGCATGATTTTAAAAGAAATTTCCATTTGCAAAAATTGCACATCGGTTTCATGTTTGTCTCGCTTTCTGCACCAAATGTATCGCATTTTGCATTGTGAATCCAGCTATTTCCATCACTGCCGATGAAATCAATTTCAGTGGTGCTTAACATTTAAATATTAAAAAAACAATTGATTTTGCTAGACAAAATCATGAGAAAGTTACAAATGGAACAATGTCAGCTCCAAACTGGATGCATTTCAAGCATTTGGCTTAAACCAGTGTCATAGGGTTCCATATAAACAGCAGTCCCTAGCTTGTTTGATATTCTCCTTGAATCACAGGATTGCATGACAAACAAGCCACGCATTTTATGCATGAACGTTTGTTGGAAGGGAAACGGTTGAGCATCAAGTAACATTTTTCTTTAGGCTATTTCCTCAGTCCTTGTACCTGTTCAACAAGTCATAGATGCATGCATAATGTATGAGAAATATTCTTATGGAAAAAACGTTTCCCCAATGGCTCAAAAATAAAAAATTCACCTTTAAATGTACATGTATTTTTGAAAGAGCATCAATGGCTGTAGGCTGTGAAATGAATGTGATTGGTCATTGAAAGAGCTTCAAATTCTTATTCTGCTTGGCCAATGCTACTGGTGTCAGTACATGTCGCTCACAGATAATCCTGGTCGGGATTTCCTATTCAATTTTTATATTGGTCTGAGCGCAAAATTCTCTGCTTCTTTGTCATAACATCTCATGATGCATTATAAGAGTAAACTGGCTTTAGTGTGAACTGGTTTTCTTTTCTTTTTACTTGTTGGAAATTCTTATTCTCCTCTTCCATCATGTCCAAGGCTTTGGACGTCTGCTCGACGACCTGATCGCGCTTCCGCTGCTCCGCCTGAAGACTCTCCTGCGAAAACTTGGTCATCTTCAACTCTTGATACAGCTCGTCCACCCTAGCGTCGCAAAACATGTCACATGCCATAGAATCAGTTTTTATTTTCACAAGACTCCACAGAAACTGGAAACAAAGACTGACAAGTATTTCAGAAGCTCTTTTTTTCAAGGGGCAAAATTTGGGCCGAGAATCTCCTTTTCGTATTACTTTGTAACTACAGGTACATGTACTTAAAACTTTCAAATTTTGAAAGCGCTGGCATAGATGTATAGACTACCGGGTATTCAACTTACATGTACATTATGATTTCACAGAGCAGGCAAGGCAAAGCAGCAGGGGGGGGAGGAGAAAGAGGGAACAGGGATAAGGAAGCAGAACCCCAACTTCCTTGTACATTTTCTCCAACGTGGTCAAAATGCAGGGTTTTTTTTATTGCAGCAAGCCTTCAGGACTTTTTTTCTGACATCTCATGAAACTTGGATATCATTTTTGGCCAAATGCCAATTTTTCTCAGGCAGGTCCGCCAAAGATGTTAATCCTTCTCATTGACGGGGCTCAATACATGCCAGTTGACACATGTGGAAGCCTTGAGCTGTAAAATGCCACGCAGTAAGCAAAAACCCACATTGGATACTCGGATTGAATACAAACATCATTAAACAAATCACACACAGAAACTGGCTAGATGCTATCATACATACATGCAGTAACTTTTAAAGCTGACCAAAGAAAGTGACTTTAGAATAGAAATATGAGCTTGTGATCTCTGGAAAAGCACTCTATCCTCTACTGGTCATTACAACTACATGTACATGCATGTAGCTGTGTGTCCGGGTCAATGTCTCTGTTCATCAGGGGTCAGAAATTGCCAGAATAATGCAACTGTAACTTCACAGATATTCTTGTAATGGATGTATTTATATGCAATTGGTTTCAATGCAATTTGTCATTGGACAGCAGAGGTCTTTGGGAGGGGGGGCAGATCCCCCAGACACTCCCCACCTTCCTAGCAGTGAGACGAGCCAAAAGAAAGGGGCTCTTTTAGGGCTCTGTTTGACAGTGGTCGAATCACACTGGAAGTTTTCATGATATTCGTTTACACCTACTGAACACTAAACACAGTCCATGCATACACACGTTGTACAGAAGTTTCGGTTAAAATTATTGCAAGAACACTGCTAACCTTTGCTGTAATTTCTCGTTCTGACGAATGATCTCCTGCCTGCCCTCCACGGTTCTGTCCTTTTCCCTCTGGAGGCTGGCAATTTGTTTATTCAAGTCCTGTAAAAGTTGCAGATCCAGCATCACTCATGAAATGAGCAGTTGTAGAAACACTCATAATGGTCATTACACGCACAGGCACACTGTACATTAGATCATACACTTCAAGTTTGAAAGACATACAGAACTTATTTCTTTTTGGCATGAACTCAATATTCCTTCCTCACAAAGTGTCCTTTTATGATTCTCTTCAGCGGCCCAAAATGGATATACGATGCCCTCCGCCTTCTCTATTTTGACACTGGTGATGGGGTATACATGTACATATAGTTTGTTAACAGAATGGACAATATTCACAGTAATGTAGCCGAGGCCTTATACATGTATATACACCTGTATATGCACAACTGCACTTTCAGTGAGTCCAGAGTTGGCCGGTCACAAGTCAAGTCACAGACTACACAAATACATGTGCCAGTGTGCGACCTACATGTACAAGTACCGTTCCAAAAACAGTCTGAATAATTACAATGTATCTCGAAAATGGTAAAACACACATGAACAATGCAAATACCTCAACTTTCACTGCTCACAACTACAGAACATGTATATTTTGTTTCTGCAGACAAAAACTATTACTTTGGATCACTTTGAAGTGTAAGAATTAACAGTGCTGAAGAGGAATTGTCAATCATCACAATTCAAAAATTCAAAATATTCACAAGCTTACTCGGGTGGATTTTTGTGAATTTTTTCGCAAGCTCTCGGACAAGCACTGAGCATACAGTGTTTATCAATATATACATGTACGTTGGGTAAGGACAAAACCCGTTACATAAATTAACATCTCCCAAACGCAAAATACATCTTGAGAAAAGGTGACATATACATGACAAAGGCATTCCTATGGAACTGTTCACTAGTTGAGTTTAACTGTGATAAATTGGACTTCCATTCTGTCATGCCTCTTCATTCTTTAGAACTTTGTCAAATTTTATCTAATTCCAATCAGTACATCATCTCCACAAGATTTAGTCAAATCAACACCTCAGTCCTCAAATTTTGTGACAACTGCTCACACATTTTAACAGTAATAAAAAAGTTAATCAAGAGTTGAGTTACGGCATACGTACCTCATTGGTGGTGGACAGATTTTCAATGGTGTAGTGGCTGTCGTTTAGCTTCGCTTCACTCTCACATAATCGCTCAGTCTGTCGCTGAAGATGACAAGAAAACAAAACATCCAATCTCAAAATTTGTGAATTGTTGGTATTAAGGGAATAAATATGTGCTTGGCTGGTTGGGTGCCACTAATGTCCGAGCGGCAGGTGAGGGCATTTTCAGCGTTCCGCCTCCTGAGCCGGTTGACTGGCCAACCACATATTTATTCCCATTCAGACATGTAAATACCTGTTAAGTCAGAGTCAAAAGAAGTCAATATACATGTATGATTGATTTCTGGCAATTTTGTTCTATCCGCCGTGAATTGAAGTGCACCCCCAAGCGGCAAAAGAAAGACAGATGGTAGTAAGTTTTCCAAGCAGGCTCTAGCACGCATTCTGCGTGTATGCAACGACCATACATTAAGGAATAAATTTGTTACGCGTACTCAGCGTCCTCCATGTCAAATGCGCCATCGATCTCCATTGTAAAAGCGTGCCCATGCGGCGAGTACCAAAAAAACACCCCCTTTTGTTCCACTTGGAGTGGATAGATCGTTATATTGCTATTTCCCATCCTCTGCGGTACCCATCGTTGATAACTCCATTCAGAATAGTATGCAACATGGGCTGCGATACGCACAGTAAGCATTCTCCTCTTTGGAATGGACGATCCTCTTTTCCCTGTGCGAGCTGGTCAAGGCAAGCTCTATGGTTTAAGAATGAAGCACATGCGAAAGGAGACAGTCAATTTCATCGTTGTCATGATCACCATTTCACTACCGACAATATTTACTCTATAGGCACATTTCATGCTAACATCTCGCAATCATACCAGATGCATTGTGGCCGAAAATTGAGCAGGCAATGGCCAAGAAGGGCAGAGAATAAATACCAGATCAACCACCACTGTCATCATCGTAGCAGGGGCCTTGAGCATTAGCTGGATTCCTACAATGATCAGATTAGCAATACATGTAGCTTCAAGCAGCCAACTGGACATCTATGCCTCTTTAGTGGCCTCCTCCTTCACACAAGCTTTGATATTGTCCAATGACTGGCTGAATGTTGTCGTCTACTGTCTTAGTACCTATGGAACAGGGATCTCCCCCAGGCGCTACACGCTTTACTGTCTGACTGGCACCAGAGCCTGCGTCAAAGACTCTGGGCACGGCCTACGCGACGAGCTGATAGAACTTCAGCTTGATCACTGGCTAAGACTTCAAACCAACTCGGCCTGACCTGTACATGCACATGTACAATACGACTCTTGTATTGAAGTCAGCCAAGATCAACCCACATCAAACCTGCATGTTACAGATGAATTCAGTGGCATTTCACAGGGCATTCATGTTTCACCGCGGATAGTACTGTGCTGGAATTTGTGCAAAGCAACTTTCACAAAACAGTGGCTTCGCACAAAGCTATAATCAGGCGAGCAACTTGGACTTTGACAAAAACAATGAGTGTGAAGTTAAAAATGAGGAAATCAACTGATCCAAGGAAATCAACTTATCCGAGGAAAAGCTGCATGCCTTTATAATAATGCTCACCACCATAGGAGGGGGGCCATTACAAATGGCTCTTGATTGGGTTGCCATGGCCATCCGATTCATCTATACCGGTACGGCGGGGTAGTTATGCGAGATGAACTTGCACAGAGTCATATTAATGTTACATACATCAGCAAACTAACTTGCCAAAACAGCAAATCCTAAACAGTTGGCTATAATTGTCATGGTGCAAACACACTGGTGTCAGCATATGCCGTGATATTGGGCAAGTCATTTTACCCTTATGTGCCTCTCTCAACCTTAGAGGAAATGGGTGCCTGTAAAGGCAGATCTGGTTCTTACGTGTATGTTTAGCAGTTTGCACCTGATGTGGTAGCATGAGGCTAGTATACTTCCCTGGGAGCTGAGATACGAGTACATGAAGTCTTGGGAAAGTTCTGATGTTGTGAGCCCAATGTGAAGGGATTTACAATAACATATTGGCACTTTTGAGGATAACCACTTCACACCGGTGGCATTTATCAATGTTGATGATGCTGGGACGGGATAATTATCATTTTTTTCCGTTTTCAAAATTCTTAAAAATTCATATCTTCATTTACTGGACACTTACACCCACACAAAGGACTTTCTGGTTTCTACTCTAACCTGACAGACAACATCTATTGATGCTGGAGTATTCCAGCCAGGCCTGCCGCCTTGTAAAAAGAGCCCAGATTTTGTGGTGTTATGTAATTTTCTTTTGTTCACGAAACTAGCACAGTGCGTTGCTGACCTCTTTACAATAGGGGCCAGATTAGCATGCAGCCGTACTGTGTGGCTCATCGCTGCGGTGGTGTAGCGCTTTTGGAGCCGGCGATAATCTGCTCGCGCTGAATGCCCGAAACCGTGGTATTCTGTTTCAAAACAAGGCTGGATTATCTCCACTATTGAGAGTGAAAAAATGTTGATAATGCCCAGCAGCCTGGTCTTTTGTTCCGAGTACGGTCTTTAGTTATGAGGTCCAGTTCCCTTTGTCTGATTTCGGAGACCCCAGCCACGCGTCTAAAGAATACGTGTCCGAAACCAGATCCCCGGTGGCAAGTGGTTAAATAAATACTGTTGTAACAATATTGAGATTTTGTGAACAGGTTTCCAGAAAAGTGTAGTGGTCAGTGAGTCAAACACCAGATGTTCACCAAGGCCAGTTGACCTATTGATAAAACTTGGTTAGCTACTTGAAATGTGGGGGCAGAGGCCAGTGCACCCACAACTTTCCTTGTTCCATGGAATAATATTTCTTTGAAATGAAGGGTTGGAACTTTATTAAGAAATTGATATAAGTCATGCGTTTACATCATTTGGTTTTATTCTGATTGTTCAATGGAATTAGTCATCAATTTAGAGCAGGGTGATGTAATCTTACTGCATAATTTACTTGTGACTTATATTAAGTAACTATGTTAATATAGTAGATTTGTAGAGTATAAAAACCCTGAAATTGTGTTGAGAAATCGAGTTGGAACTTTGCGATCAGAAAGCTAAAGTTTGATGAGACCAGCTTTGATGCTTTGAGCCTGTGAAGTGTTTTCATGTTGAGAAATTACTTGAAGTAATTGAAGTTATTTGTGAAGTATTTTGCTGCGGTGAAATACTTGTTAGCAAACAGGAGGATTTTCCTCACCAACTCCCTGTTTGACTGTGAGGAGCTTTGCATGAGGCGAAGTTTGGAGAATAAAAGAAACTCGTATTCTTAACCAACTTCTGTTTTTCAACTAAGACTTCTTTTTAAGTCTGAATTGTCCGTGCACTTGGGCCAGGACGATTGCTTCGAGTTCGGTTACTGAGACTCAAAATTCAGCGCTACTAAAAACATCTCGCGATAAGTTAAGGAGGCGAGGTTGTTACAACTGTGCACCTTAATATCATTATGTACATACACGTACACGTATGCATGTACATGCAGCTAACAATGACACATCACAACTAGGACACTGTCCTCATACATTGCCTATGAGGACAAGTCCATGTGAGTCCAAAACAAACTGAAACAAAGCAGTTTCTTGTCCAAACTGGATGTAAAAACCACGAATCCTGCTGAGACTTGACCCGCGACTGTCTTCAGTAAGGATCTGCACTTCCAACTCTGATTGGATGGACTGTGGCTAAGTCACTTTGGATCAGATCATCCGTCTCCAAAATCCAGCAAAATCTGACTGTTTTTTTACTTGGAATGCCCGCTTTTGCTTGTACCGGTAACTTATTGAATGTGGCAATAACAGCATCTAAACATTTTCATTTTGTTACCACCGCAAGGCAACCAATACCTTCTCTAATCCATAAGTTAACGTACTCACATGTAGTTTCACTCATACTACTCACAGACCTGGAAACTTGCTAATATGTTCTGTGCAATATATGATGCAACGACCTGATGGCAGCCTCAATTAGAGGCCCCAAAAATCAAGATCACAGAGTCCTCTTGTGTATGGATACAGTGATGGGTATGTCAGCTGCCCCAACAGCATACAATGTACATGTATGTAGAGATCAGTGGTCCCAATCTAGCACGGTACCGGTACCTGCAGTGTCTCATGTGCCTCTCGCAGCTTCTCCACCAGCGTCAGCCGCCTCTGTTCGCTCTCGTACATTCCGTCCTGCAGGCTCTTCAGCGCCCCCGATGCCCCGGTCAAACCCCAGGGCTCCTCGGTTGAGCGAGGGGCGGGGGTCCTGGCGCTGTGTCTGGAGGGGCTGGCATCTACGTCAACGTGGAGGAGGGGCGAGGAGTGCAGAGGGCGGGGTGAAGTCTTGGGTTGGCCTTGGGAGTTGGACAGGGTGTGGCTGAACAGGAAAGAAAAAGAGAGTGCATTAATAAACCAAACCTGACTTTTGGAATAACTTGAAATGTTCCTGGTATCTTTAAAAACATAGTTTGAGTAAAATTATCCAGCAGACTACCAAAAAATAAAAAACGGCCTTGACTGTTTGACTATTTACGCCCGTACATCCCAACAATGTCTCTCGGGTCATGCGGGTGGCAATTCACTATACACTGTATGTGTGCACGGGCTTATGCATATTTGGCGTAGGCAAATGTACAAGTCTTTGTGTGTGCCTGGCGCACAGCATAATCCTGGTGGGAAAACACTTCCCTACAGTCCTCCCTTTGCCAGTAAAGGGGCGCTAATTGTCACAACAGAATTTAAGCGTTGGCGTGTCCTTGGGGGGCAAGAGCTTGTATCACAAGGATAGGCTTGAGAACACCTTTTGTGCATTCCTTGAAACTGAATTTAGGTAAAAAAAGAGTCTCCAAGACACCATGGAGACACTAGCAATGCATAACCTATGGGGTACAGTGTGAAAAACAGTAGCCATGGTAGCCAGTTACTACAGGGCCATTAATTATAAGCCGAAGAATAAGTAGATCTCCATACAAACACTCTAACATGTACTGTACACGAGCAATTTCTGTACTGTTTGTACAGTTTTTGATATCCTATATGCACCAAATCCTGAAACACGTGCATTTATGCATGGGGGCCATCTTGGTTTGTGTACGTTTCGTTCATTCATTTTTGGGATTGAAAACAGAAATTTAAAAAAAAAAATCAATTTTTTTTAATTTGAAAACAAAAAATGAAAATCGGAAATTTAGCTCTTTATGTTTATTGATTTGAAAACATAAAATAGAAAAACAGAGAAACAAGTCATTCCTCATCTTTCATTTAAAAATGAAAAATGGCAATCACATTTTCCTTTTTCAATGTGAAAAAGAATAACATCGTAATCTACTGAGTAATTGATCCACTGTTTGAAGAATGAAAACAGTTCCATTTTCATTTTGTAGCATACAAAAACGTTTTTGTAACCCATCAAATCAAACATGGCAAAACTAGAGGAATACAAGGAATTCATTGCTTCTAAAGTAAAAGATGGAGCAGCTCCAAAGGAAATTTTCACATTTTGAAAGGCAACTCTCATCCTGAGAAGTGATCATAGTCCAGCGGCCAAGACCAAATTAATGGCAGAATATTTCACTTTGTGGAGAAATTATGAAACTCGGCACACATGTAGGGGACCCCTTTAGGATCATTTTTCGATAGGACCCAACTCTGAAACGCCCCCTGGTGGCCGCCATCTTGAATTTCAAAATGGCCACCATATTGGGCACACTTTTGCTTATGACTCCGAAACTAAGGCAGATGCGATTTCAGTGTCTACCCTCCATTTTCAGGGTGAATATTAATATTGTTATTTGGAACATCTGGTGTCGGCCAGATTGATTTGCAAGATGGCGGCAAGCCTTATATTAAAAATGCAACATTTCATATTTGTTTATTTTATGAGAAATTAAACCACTTATCAATACATGTATCAACTTATATATTTATGAAGTTCCCGTATCTTGTATGAAGGATGAGGCGTCAAGGACAAATTGGATATGTTGGTATTTTTTTTAATATATTAATTAGACTCCGGTAGGTTTCCAGTGCTGCCACCTTAAGCTTGTTCCACATGTTTCAGTTAAGATAAAATAATTTCATTCTTGTTTCAATAATGCATAAAGGACAAGTTCAAGACCTACATGCAGACATGTTCAGCTTACATGTAACTAATAATGCATGATATTTGGCAGGTACAGGTAAAGGGATGTTAAAAGCCTAAAGAAGTCATTCACATGATGGCTTAATGAATATGGAGCGCAAAGTGCACAGATAGCTAACTCGAGGTGCAGCTCAGACAGACAGATCATAAACTGGTATCAGGTTATTTGGGCTCTTCCAAAAGGTGTGGCATGCTGTAATAGGGCAATATTATGTCAGAGTCCACTCTTACTGCTTGATATAATATCATCGTGAGCACATAGGTGCTTGTGCAAGATCTACCTCCCATCACCGCTCTCGAAGCTATGACGGGAGGAAGAGCTCGCAGAAGTCCTGTTAGCTCAGGATTGCAAGTTGGTTGGTTTTTTATATTTTAGGTGCTGAAACAAACTGACAATGTCCAAGTCTTTCAATTTAGTCCCTTCTACGTCGACAGACGGTGCATCGGAAGGAGCAGAAAAACCTGACGTCAACTGGAGAATCTGTGTCCTTTGCCAAAGAGAGACACAAGAATCGGTTGTCTTGCTAGGGAAGGGAAAGCGGTTTGCCAAAGGAATGGGATATTGTACATTGGCCCGAGAACTAAGTGACGCTAGAGATGCCAGCTTCAACCCACTCAAAATTGATTTTGATAGACTTGATGATGGACTTGGCATTGAACAAACACTTCCTGCACATGAAGCTTGCTGGCATAAACTGTGTAGAAATGAATACGGTCAGCTGAAGTTCCATACATGTAGGTGGAGAAAACGCAGTGCTCCCTGTGACGATACGCCTGAAGCCTCTCCTCGCAAAACTCATCAGAGAATGAGTGCAGGTCAGAGTAAAACAGGCAAAAATAACACGTGCCCATTCTGCGATGGTACTGATGGCAACCTTCATAATGCGTCAACCTTTGCAACTGACAATACATTGGGACAATATGCAATTAAATTAAAGGACCCAAATTTGCTCAGAAAACTTGCTGGTGGTGATCTGGTAGCTATAGAAGCAAAGTATCACAAAGCCTGTATGACTAAACTGTTTCATGATGCAAGGAGTGTAGAGAAATGCCGTGATGAAACAGACATTTCATCATTTGATGGTATAGCATTGGCAGAACTTGTAGCTCACATCAATGAAGCAAGCAGTTTGGAAGACACAGCTCCTGTCTTTCGTATCGCCAACGTCTGCTTGATCTTGGGATGGCTCCTGAGATTCAAGTCAATCAAACGCGGTTAAAGGAGAGACTCCTTCTGAACTGTCCACATCTGACTGCAACAAGGCATGGTCGTGAAGTCATATTTGTAGTTGACCGCAACATTGGAGATGCGGTTATTAGAGCCTGCAACACGGATTTGGATCTCATGTGCTTGGCAAAAGCAGCAACAATAGTTCGCAGACAAATTTTTAATAACGATTACACGTTCAACGGAAAATTAAGTCGTGATGAGCTAATGAAATCTGTGCCCAGCGTGTTGCTTGCCTTCGTTAGTATGCTACTTGAAGGACATAAAAGACCAAATAGATTGGACAAAGCTCCAGCAAAATGCTGGATTAACAATTGTTTAGTTACTTGTCTTCAACAGTGGTAAGCACGCCAGTCTTAAGAGTTGTGCTGTTAGACACAACAGATCACGGGAAACCCCTCTGCCAATTTATGTCGGCCTAAAGATGCATTCAGAGACCAGGAAGCATGAACTTGTGGATCGGCTGCATACATTGGGGCTCAGCATTTCGTACGACCGCTTGCTGAGGATGTCTTCTGGTGTAGCAAACCGTCTTTGCACACAGTATGAAGAGGACGGTGTGGTCTGCCCACCGCAGCTTCGGAAGGGTGTATTCACCACAGGTCAAGCTGATAATATAGATCACAACCCAAGTTCAGTTTTGGCAAAAGATTCCTTTCACGGGACTGCTCATTCGCTTTGTCAGCATCCAGACAGGACTGATTCTGGCCAAATATGCTCGGATGCGTCTCTGTTTCAGGAAGAATCTAGTCGGACTAAGCATGTTCAACCGCTGCCAACACAGTACACTAGTATTCCTGCTGCACAGGCTCTTCCTAATGATGCATATGTTCCTGTATACTATGGTCCTGTTAGGCCACCTATAGATCAACTGTAGATACTGAAGGAGGACCGTAAGCTGGAGTATATGTGGCTGGAACACCAGATGAAGCTCTGCCTAAAGGAGACCCTGTGTGACACTGATAATGCGTCTCGGGCAGCATTCCATACGTCAAGGAAAGAGGAACCTTGAGCTACAAAGACCAATGTGCCGTTGCTACCTTTTTTCCGTGAGAAGTCAAACTCTGTGGCTATTACCTCTCACATCTTGCACACCAATGCCGCTGCTACGTAATTCCTCAATGCAGGACAAACACCCGTCCTCACAATGGATCAGCCGTTATATGCCATAGCGAAGCAGATCCAATAGCAGTTTCCCAACTTGTATGGCGAGGACAAGTATGTCATTATGCTAGAGGGATTGCATACAGAGATGGCTGCTTTGAGGACGATCAGAGATATTCTTGACGGAAGTGGATGTACAGACGCTCTGACTCAGGCAGACATTGCGACTGCAGGCACCTGCGAATCGCATGTGACCAAAACCCGCAGGGCCCATCAGGTTACAGCCGCAGCTTTGTACCAGTTACAGCAGAAAGCCTACTTGAACTCCAAGGAGATGGAACAGAGTGACAGAAGTCAAATTGACGCAGATAGATTCACACACTGGTGTGCTGAGAGGTCAGAAATGTACCCACAGTTCCATTTTTGGCAGACAGTCTTAGATTTTGAACTAACTATTTTCCAGTTTGTGAGGTCCTTGCGAGTGTCCGATTTTGGCCTGTACATTGCATTGCAAGCCGAGTTAGTACCCTGGTTCTTCGCATTAGACCATCCAAATTATGCACGCTGGTTACCGGTTCATGTGAGAGATATGTCAACCTTGGAGGAGAGGTGTCCAGATGTCTTTCGCAAGTTCAAATGCAGGGCATTTACTGCCAAGAAGACAAGCAGACCTTTTCTGCCATTTCATTGGACCAGCCACACGAACAAATTAACGCACTGGTTAAGGGCGATGGTGGAGCTGTTGGCCTAACTGAAAACCCTGGAGCACTTCGGAGATGGATAGTGGCTGGACTCGAAATAGCAAGACTAGTTGAAGAGTTCGAGGATGACTTCGACGAAGGTTGGACTGTCATGACCCCGGATCGCCACCATGAGCAGACAAAAAGCGTCCAAGAGAAATTCGTTCAAGATGTACAGTCACTGGTGACCACAACTGAAGAGATGGGCAACCCATTTATGGAGGAGAGTATGGACTTGCTAAATCTCAATTCCAAAGCCATCATGCCAGAGAAAGTTGTACTTGCCACAAGGAGCGTGCATTCACTGGGGAAGGCAAAATATTACCAATTCATGGAAGAGCGTTTAGATT